CGCATTTTTCGGTTACGACTTGATGTTTTGGTAATAACAAAATATTATTAGTTAAGACTTAAAGTATAAACAAAGTCCAGTCTTGTAGTAAATTTTTATTCGTACGTATGAGATAAAGTTAAATTAAAAAAATTTGAAAATGTGTTTAGCCTAGTTAGTCTATTTTACCTGGCTCATTTTCACACGAAACAATGGCGATCGATTAATCTTACTAAAAAAAATTGAACTGAAAGTCTTTTATTCACATAATTAAAACAAAATGCGGTGTATTTGATGGCGTGCAAGTATAAATCGAAAGCCGTCGAAATCTTGTCGTATTACTTTTAATTGTATTGTCGCCCTACGGTAGTCCGGAAGAACTAGGGCGAGATTAGTTCGATCTGTCCGGTTCACACGACCCTTGTAAGATATATTGTGAGAAATTGTTTTTATAACAACTTGCATTTTCGATTATACGACGCAGGATGCTTTTTATTATTGTTTTTGTTTCCGTTCTTTAATGAATTTAAATATGACTTGGTTTTGTGACATCTTTCTTATCGTATAAAAGACTAGTCCATTGAAATGTTACATTTGCTGAACATTTGTTAGAGGACGCAATTTTATTTATGGAATATGTAGGGGGGTCAATACAATCTTAAACCCAATCTTGGAAAAAGGGGTGAAAACACGTTTTTGGCTATATCTCCTAAACTATCCATCGCAGGAAAAATTTGTGAAGATATATTTTGCACTCCGGTTTCTTTCTAGTGAACATATGTAAAAATGTTAAGGGTTTATTCAATGCGTATTATTTTAAATTTTGTCTATGTTGTGTCTACAGCTATACATATTGAGAAGGGATGAATAAAATAAACAAACCAATATAAACCTAATTATAACTGTACTTAAGTGATTAATAAAATCTTTTTGCTTAACAAAATGCCATCTAAAAACATAAGAGTTGTTCTTTGTACTAAATAATAACTTGCAAATAAATCCAGTTTTAATATAACGATTTTAATTTAGTACAATATTCTTAATCTGCATCGTAATAATAATAAACAAAACTGTGTTCACTGGGCTTATGCAACAGTGTAGCAGGATCATGAATCGATCCTTAGCTAAAGTAAACAGTTACCAAAGATAATAATAATCTAATATATAAAATTCTCGTGTCACAATGTTCGTTCCCATACTCCTCCGAAACGGCTTGACCGATTCTTATGAAATGTTTTATGCATATTCAGTAAGTCTGAGAATCGGCTACTATCTATCTTTCAAACCCCTAAATGTTAAGGTTCTAAATTTTTATTATTTAGATAATTTTTTTTTTTTTTATTTCATTTTTATGCATACAAAAAAACAATACAACCCCTATTTTTTATTCGTTAATTAAAATATTATGGCTTGAACACTGAGGTTTATATAGAGAAAAATTAACAAACCACAATTAGAAAACCGAACAGTCTCTGGGGTAGCATAGCAAAATGTTCTATGTTGGTAGGTATGTACTAAAAAGGTTGGCTAAGTAAAATCACATGAAGGAGAAACGAAGTTTGCGGGGACAGCTATATTAAAACAAATTTAAGTATGGTTGGTGGCAGTGTATCTTTAATGCCGACAGCATTTCCTCGCTGTATTGCGATACTTATTTTCATATTCTATAGTTTATCCGAGTTCAAATTAGAGGGATGACTCAAACCTACCCCAATTTAAAATTTTATCTCATAATTAATTTTAGAATATTCCCATCCCATTAGCACGTCAACGACATATGTCGGTTCGTTAACCTTTTGCGATTTCATCACGCGATTGCGTGAGTCCGTCGCTTCAATGGACGAAAATTCTATTCAAAATCGTAAGAGAAAGAGATCGTGTTACGTATTTTTTTGTTATTCCCAAGGTGTCAATCACTGCGGAGTTACTTTTTAGGCACAAAAAAGACTGGGTCGTTTCTTTGTTTAACCAAAAAAATTGTTTCACTAGATTCTATGAGGATTTCTGGTATTTTGCGACTTTGATAAGAGAGATAAGCTTAAAATAGCCTAGGAAAAAATTTAATTGACCCAGATTGGTTATTATAGAGGTTCCCAGTATTTATATTCAAGACATACTGGCAAAAAGTTTCGCTTCGATAGGCTTAGAAGACTTGACCTAATAGAACTAGGTAATTTGCCATTCCTACACATTATATTAATTAAATAAATGAAATATTCCATTATTTACAGGAATCAAACGCACCACCTCAGGCAAGCTTAACCATCTACAGTGCCACATACTTTTCTTGGCCGGTAAGAGGGTCATGGATTATTGCCAGTAAATAAACATTAACCATTATAAGGGGAATAATTTGAAGTCATGCAGGCTAACTTAATAATTTATTGAAATGTCTTAATAAAACAATGTATACTAGTATCTAAAAAATACAGTTCTAGGCTTAAATAAACGTGACACAAACTTAGGAACAATTGACATGATAGGTTTTGTTACGTCTGTAATATTAATAGATTTTTTAAGATACCTAGCAATTAGTACCGTTCGATAATTAAAACTTTACCAGTGTAATTAATAATGCAAGGAATAAAGTAAAATACATTTTATGATTGGATTTTTATTAGATGTTGGTAGATAGTAAAATTATTTATTGTACGCACCAAAATGGCGACGGTAGTACCAATAGTCCTCCGCTGAAGACTCTTCAATTAAAGTCAAATGTTAGTCACAGCTATAAGATTCATCTAATGACTCCCATTCCCAAATCCTATAAAATCTAGTTTTTAATCCGCCCAAAAAAAAATATTTATCGATTTAACAATTATTCTTATTTTTACTTTTAATTTTATTTTATTTACTGAACACCTTTACATAAGACTTCATTACTTACACTGCTAACTTTTACAATTTTTATCCTCTACTAAGTATTATTACATTCCTTTTTTTCTTCTTTTTTTGCGACTGAGGCGCAAACTAGCTGCTGTGGTCTCTGGCAGAATGACCAGCGCTGTCGAACATTCTCCTCCTCAGCATTATACTGAGCCAGGGCACACACGTATTAGGTACACACTTAAAACGAACCGAATGGGAAAAGGGATTTTTTTTATATCTCTCATTATATTTTTTCTTTGATTATTGTTATTTTGTGTGTTTTAGTTAGTAATAAATGTTATGTCTATGTCAATCGGCCAAGAAAAGAAAAGCATGTGGCACTGTACAAGCTTTTTTTTGTGCCAACATACTCTTGGGTGCGTTAAGAAGGTCAATTCAGTTCCACAGATTAGAAAATAAAGTTTATGAAAACTAGGTTATATAGGGGAGACCGTGAGAATTGAAAATTGAATATTAAATGGGACATGTTTCGGTATGTGGGGAACAAACAGAGCCCACCTGGGGTCCGAGGGACGTATGATAATTAGGGTCATTATTGATGGTTGATATCTATTTATATTAACTGATAATAAATAAGACACAATATGGGACTTAATGCGTAACTTTTAAAATAATTTTCTCGTGAAAATTTATGTTTTATATATACTAATATCTTAGTAGATTTTTTTTTTAATTTTATTTATTAAATAGCCTTTTTCCCGAAGCCGTAGACAGAGACCGCGGCTCTCCACTTGCTACAGCCCTGACATACCTCTATGCTCTATGCGCATGCTCGTTGGTTATGCGAACTTTTAACTAGTACCTTCTTTAGTACCTCTTGGATTTGGTCCAGGTATGTCAGACCAGACCAGTGATGGGTAAAGCACAACCCGCGGGCCATTTTCGGCCCGCCGAGGTTCCATCGACATGGATATGGGCCTTAAATCAAACAATTTTAAAAAGGTTTTAGGCATGTTGAACAACAAAATTATCATACTTTTATAAAAAAAAATCTTATTTGTGAAAAGAACACTTTATAACATTATATATAATTTATCTTCCATATATATATATTTTTTCAGATATCTTGTATATGTGATGTTTTTTTATTGATAATTTTTTTTTTTAAGAGTTAGGTACTAAAATGAACTAAAATATTGTCTTCTAAATATCACGATTATACTAGTTCTAGTCAAATGAAATACATTTCTTAAAAGTCCTCCAAATGAAATAAATATAATCGAAGTCCTCTACCTTAGAATTTCAAATAACAGTACATATTCATACAAGTATGAACAAATAATTACAAAAGCAACCCCTTACACCTTGTGAAATTCCCACACATCGTGAGAAACACACCCTAGAACGAAACACGCATAAAAACTGCCTTCACGGTACGGTGCGCGCATGAAGTGTCGAGTTTTGTGTATCGTATTGCAAGTAGTTTTAAGACGCTGTTTCTGGTACTTTATGAAAAATGTTCATAGAATTTTTAAAGAGCACATTCCCATGGAGTGGGGTTGGTTTATAGTTTACCTAGGTGATTAATTAGGTTATATCGAGGAAATTATTTATTTTAATTTTAATAACAGTTTATATAGCGTAGTATAGTAATTATTTATATTAATTTAATCAACAAAATAGTAGGTATTTCTGGGTAAATATTTCGACAATATTTGTTTCTACACTTAAGAAGTATAGTAATGTTATGTTGCCTTTGAAAAGTTGCTAAGAAAAAGTAAAAACACACTTTCACAAATTACAAATTCGCGTAATTAATTTTATATAGGTACAATATAGAAAAAAAATCATAGCCTCTTAAGAATGGTCAGAACTCAGACAAGCCTTTCAATACAAAAGATTTGTCCATTATTGAACCAAAAACTACCAAATCCATTAATCACCGGCCAAGCCGCGTTCATTCACTAATATCAAAGTACAGGTTTGCGAGCGACAGAGACAGCACCAAAACAAAACATTCCGATACATTTCCCACCACTTAAAGCCCTTTGTTGGAGCGAGATAGAATGAGTTGTCAGTTCAACTTTAAAACAGGATGAAAAAGGACATAGGGTCTTGCTCCTGAATCGAGTACGGTATGAGTTCATAAAGTAATCCGACGTTGTCGAAGAAGGACGTGTGTGTGACCTAAAATGCAGTACAGTGAAGACGATGACTCTCAAAATGGGTTTTCGGAATCGACTCAAGGATTATCTAAGGCAGAGTTGAGAAAGGTGTGTGTTTAAATTGTGATATTTAAAAAAAAAACGGGAATATTAAATGTTTAAAAAATGTGCGTCAACAAAAGTCCATAAAATATTAAAATAAATTAGAAAGATTATGTAAAGTTCAGTGTTATTTATTGGCTATTTTTTACAGACAAATAAGCCAATAATGGAAAAGAAGCGGCGCGCGCGCATCAACAATTGCCTCAATGAACTGAAGGATTTACTACTGGACTCTATGGACAAAGACGTAAGTATTTGTGTCTTTTTTAATTAAAATGTAAATGATAATAATATTCATATTTCTAAGAGCTATTGGTTTTTATTAAAGACATTAAAAGAAATACAAATTTTATTATATTTATTTGTATAGTTGATATAACTTATAATTACTTTATAATTGGTTGCTTTATAATTATAATGATTAAAACTTTTCTGTCATTAAATATAATTAAAAAAAATTAAAGAGTATAGCATTTATTTACCAAATCGTTTTATTTCAGCCGGCACGCCATTCAAAATTAGAAAAAGCGGATATTTTAGAAATGACAGTGAAGCATCTTCAGACTCTTCAAAGACAGCAGCTTGCAGCAGCAATAGCAGCCGACCCAGGAGTCCTTCATCGCTTTAAAGCCGGCTTCGGTGACTGCGCAGTGGAAGTCCGAAGATACCTCTCAAGACTAGCAAGCGTTCCAACTGGACTCCGCTACCGACTGGGAAACCATCTCAACTCATGTATCTCCGGAATTGAACACCTACATCCCTCTGAATATGCGCCCCTGGTACCAGACCCTTTAAGACTCGACGATGAAAGACCCAGCGCCTTCCACTATGTCAAGTCCACGCGACCAACCAGCCCACCATTAAGCCCCCTGTCGTGTGACTCAGCATGCGACTCCTCAACAGAACTAGAAACTCCTCCTCGCCCCGTTAAAACATATCCCTTCCCAACACCACCCAGCCATTCGGCGTCAGACCAAGACACCAGCCCTGAACAAAAAGCAACGGTGTCCTCAACTACAATTTCCCCAGAAATGCTAAAACAAGAAGCCTTAAGGAATAAGAAGCTTATGGAACCACTGTCAATAGTTATAGATGTTGAGAACTACAAAATCGGGATAGATGCATCACCAAAACGCGCTGTGGACTACTCAATCAGACACAAATATAAACGTCACGCTGACAGCTTAGGACCGCCAGCTAAAGTCTTACGGTTGGATGAGAAGTCCATTACGCCACAGAAGAGAGAAGAACACGCAACCTTAGAATCGTTCAGAAGAGTACCAGAAAGGGTATTGCATACTGAAAAAAAGTTATCGCTACCGCAAAGTATCCCTGTACCGGTGGAGGTGCCATCACAAAGCCGATCTGTTATAAGCCATACTGCAGAGTCCTTGGCTCAGTCCAGCACGAGTAAGGTGGCAAAAGACAAGGCAGAAGCAGACACAAGTTCAAAATCTCCTGTTCAAGGCACGAGTACTGAAATGTGGCGACCTTGGTGAAGTGTTAATGAGATTCCAATTGGAATTGTTTACAAATATGGTTGTTACTTGTGGTGCTGTTTACACTGTAACATGAAAGCTTTAATGTATATTATATAGAGTAAGAATTTATAAAGAGCGAGAATTTACCTATGTGGTATTCTTAGTAAAGATATTATTTTTATTGTTCGCATTTTTAATGGATAATTTATTCTGATGACTGAAATATCTTGATGCTGTAACTACCAGCTGTACCCGCGAACTTCGGTTCGACTTCGATTTTTTTTCTTAGCCTAGGTTTAGTAGTAACATACCAACATATGGAACATTTTGCTATGCTACTCCATAGAGACTGTTCGCTTTTCTGGAATAAAAACTGGTTTATAATTTTTTTTCTATAAAATCGTACCTTAGAATTCAAGGAATAAATTTAAAAAAAAATATTCTAATTGGTCCGCTATCTTTTAGTTCGAGTTTTAAGCTTAGATTACTTTGCGATTAATTTATATTAAACTAGCTGACCCGGCAAACGTCGTTTTGCCATGTATATTATTTCTAGGAAACATTTTTTTAGTTCAATAAAAATAACTATCTACTGTAATAAAAAATAGGGGTTGATCGTTGAGGGGTGACAATTAAGGGTTGTATGCTGTATCATGAAAAATAAAAAGTTTTGTCTTAAAAAAAAGAAATTAGGGGTGGGACTACCCTTAACATTTAATGGGATGAAAAAGAGATGTTGTCCGATTTTCATACGCGTTGCAGACCAAGAGCTAAGCTACGTTAGTTTAGCTTAGCTCGCATAGCTGACCCAATTTTCCATACGTCTGCGCAGACCGCAAACTATGCGAACTAAGCTATGTGAGCTAACTAAAATATGCGAAGCTAAGTTAGTTGTGTATGCCGATGCGCAGCTACACGAGCTAAGCTAAGCCCCTCCCGCTACCCCGCACACCCTTTGCACATAGTATGCAACACTGACTGAGCTTTGGGTTAGCTGTTGGTGTGCACGCTATTTATTTCTAGCTTAGCTTAGCCTAGCTTGCTTGGCATAGCTTAGTTTAGCCTTGGCATAGCTTAGTTTTCGGTCTGCAACCTTCAGACTTCAGGCTTCAGACTTACTGAATTTGCATAAAGAATTTCATAAGAATCGGTCGAGCCGTTTCGGAGGAGTATGGGAACGAATATTGTGAACTGTTTTGAATTTAATGAATAAAGGGACTGGACTCCTAAAACATATTGGATTACAAGAAATATTCTAAAAAAAGTCATTAACTATGTAGTTAAGTTTATTAAATAATCAAAGATGCTTCACTTATTTAAAATAATGCAAAATAAAATACAAATATATTAAAAAGCTTTATTAAAATAAATAACCACAGAACTTAATAAATTACTTCACACAATATTCACACTTATTTTCGGACGGAATAATATCATAATTTCATATTTATTTCGATTTGAGAAAATCCTTCCTCTGTTGTTGTAATTTTGTTCCAGGAGAGTCACCTTCTCCTGATATTTAGCACTTTCTCGAGTTAAGGCCTGGATAGCGGAGTCTTTTCTGGCAACTGCTACTTTCACTCTGCAAAGAGAGATACCCATAAAGGGAGCGTTCAAGTATTACGTCACGCAATTTTTGAAGATTATTGAACCCCCCCATGTATCGCGACGTAACGTTTTTCTGTACCCAAGTACAGTAATTTTTCCCAAGTATAGTAAAATGTTTCGTGACCATTTAGTGACTATTTACCTAAAAGTTACCATTATGTGGTATAAAGTACTCGAAAGACGGAAATAATATTAACAATATCGCGTAATTCAATCCCCGCCCCGCATCGTAACGTTTTACAAAAAGTCCCCCTCCCCCCAAAATTCGTTACGTAATACTTGAACGCTCCCAAAGGAACAAAAACGAAATTCTTAAAATATTGAAGTACTATATCATGATGTGGAAGATATAAAGAAACTAGACCAATATATGGTTCCTATTAATTAAAAACAAACTTGGCATAGAGCTGATGCATCTGCTCTTCGTGTGTCTTCTTCATCTCTTCTATTTCTCTCTGCAATGCTTCTACTTTATTCTTCCAAGCCTCTTCGCAGCTCGACTTTATTTCTTCAGCGCGTCCTTCCAATTGTATATTTTTCTAGATAACAAAATAAAAAATTAAATAACGTATTAAAAAAATACAATCTTTGAACCTTCGATATTATTAAATTCTAATGACCAGTGTCTAATTTATTAAAAATAAATAACCCAAATTTAACCACCAAAGTAAAATCAGAAAAGATATAATAATATATTTTCTAAATTTTCGGATTTCTTTACACTAAAATAATTAAAAGGAACATATTTAATATTGCATTATAAAAGCTTTCTCATTTTATACAAATTTCGGTGAATTTCTGTGAAAATTTATAATTATTTCATACCTCTGTTAAAACTCTATTTCTGGTTTCTAATTGGCTTATTTTCACTTCCATCTCAGCACCTAAAACCATACGTTAATAATAAAACCGTTTTTCTTTTGATTTTAATAGTCGAGTATTTAAAATACAATTTTGGGAGATTAAAAACATATTATTATTACTATTTCCGATATATTTTTTTACATTGACTTTTATATAGAACAGGAGTCTTCTTCAATGGGCAGCTGGTTCCACATAGTGGTGGGCGGTGAACGTAATAAAAAAAATATTTTTGGTTTTGACTCGAGGTGTCTCTGTGTGACATCATAGATAGATTCATTCAGAGGATTTAATAAGATATTTTCAAATAAATGGTCATAGATTATGTAGTGTATTGACTAAATAAAGTGTTACTTGGTTGTCTCATGCGCCTACGTCACTTGTCAGACAGTCAGTCGTAATCCGACATCCGAACGGAGCGGTTGTGTGTAGGACGTTTGTACAAGTGTTGTGGTGTTGGTAAGCCGTAAATCACTCCAAGAAGCAGGACATTACAGATTATATATTGAATTTGATTATAACTCACATTTATCTTCCTGCAATCTAATCCTGGCCTGGGCATCTTGATAACGCTTTAACGTCGCTGCTTCAGTTTCTGCTAATTCCTTCAATTCAGTCTCATAGTGTTCTTTGTTTCTTCTACAAAAAAGGTTTTTATGAGTTAACGGTTCGTTTGCAGTCTGGTAAAATATAAAATCGTAAAATCAAAGTCAAGTTCCGGTCGAATACAAATTATATGAAGAATATGTCCCCAGACCGAGCAAGAATTTGTGAACTGTATAGTGTATATTCAGCAAAATACAGAAAAGTGAGGGTAGGATTGAAAATTGAGACTAACCGCGAATCATGACTTCCGTCAATAACGTTGGTTAGGTTAGGAGGCGACATTGACTGCCGTTACTACTTGTACCTTCAGTCAAAAATCATTTAATCATATAGGTAACACATTGTACACTTATGAACGTCAAAAAAGAAATGTATATGAAATGCTTCTAACTTTACATTTAGTGCCAGTTCTCAAATCAGCGAAAACTTACCTCTCGAAAAGGGCACACATGACACAATGTATGGAAATAATTAATTAACTGCAAAGATTAACGGACGTTTTTTACTGTCCGTTGCGTAAACTGACAAAACATCAGTAAGCTAACCTATATTGTAAGAAATAGTTAGTCATTTTGTAAATATTTTAATCTATAACTGTTTACACAACATTGTGTTGTTTTTTAAGTGAAAACTTCTTTAGCAATCGTTGTGATTTGAAAGTCGATGAAACGAAAAAGCGACAGTAAACAGAGACACACACATACATTCATAAGATTTATCGAGTGAGAAAATGAGATAGGAAGTATTATACAGTGTATAAACTTTAAATTCGTGAGATTAGCTTTTTAGTTTATTTTATTACTTTTTTTGTATTATTTTAGATTAAAGGTCTGTTTCACAGTGTACGGATAAGTTCTACATAAGTTCCAAATTAGCTAATTATTACTTATTGGTGATAGCGCTAATCGTCACATAAAGTCCATCATAAGCTATGACTCCGATGAATGTCAAATAACACAATTTATCTTCCAAATAATTTATGTGTTGCATAGCTATTTGGTATTTTATCCATACATTGTGAAACAGACCCTAAGGTTGGTGATTCTTGCACTTTATCTATCACATTTAGAGTTTTAGTTTTTTCCCTTACTCTGCCTGGAAGAGATCGCTTGTCATAAGGCCGCCTGTTGCATCCCTTATAATTTTTATGTATTATGTTATATTTTGTTTTTCTATAAATGTAACAAAGTGTAAATAAATAAAAAAATAAAAAATCCATTCGTAATTACTACGATACATTTTTCAGTTACCTTAATGCATCTTGCAGCTCCTTTCTTCCCGTCTGAGCTTCCGCTTCCAAACTCTCTATGGCCTTCTCGATCTCTCTATCTCTCTCCAATTTGTGTTGCGCCGTTAGCTCTGTCACTCTCCTCTTGAACAATACTTGCTGTTCTGCTTCGAATTCTCTTTTGTGTTTCTCAAAATCTGCATCTAGTTGTAAGCGTTTCTCGTTCATTTGTTCCTGCAATTATGAAAATGATTTTTGAAACTTCAGAGACGTTAAAATCCAGTCTGAAGAATGAATTATTAGAAATGACAGGTGCTAAGATCGCTTTGCATCTGTCATTTCAAAAATAATTCAGATTTTTATAGTTTTAATGTAATTGCATCATCTGTCTCTTTTCACCACAGCATAATCACTATTTGATAGAAAGGGACGAAAGACTAAATATCAAATATTTATCATTAAAAAAAAATATTTACCTCAAGTTTTTCTTTTTCCTTCTTTATTTCAAGTTCTATATTTTGCTTCTTTATTTCCAATAAACGCTCTTGCTCCTCTCGCCATTTTTCTTAATAAAAAAATTATAAACATCAATAAATTTAGTTAAATATTCAAGACTGCTGTAACGGTTGATATTTGATATTAACAAATTTCAAAGATTCAGCGCTAAGTGTAAAATTTGCACAAACGCAGAGCGTAAAGTATGTAGTAGTCGGTCCCAAAGTTCTGTCATAAATGGAAATAATGATAAAAACAAAAGTACTGATCAGTTTGTAATGAGTGATATATCAATTCTTAGTACATTAATTAAGGAATAAAAAAAGCATAAAAATATTCGAAATAACCTCCCTCATTTTTAATACAGGCCCTTAAGCGTCGCGGCCAGTCGTCTATCGCAGCACGCACCATATTCGTGTCGATTTCAGTCACTGGTTTTTTTAAAGATGACTTCAGATTCTCCAAATTTTCATGAGGTTTATCACAGACCTTCCTCTCTAAGCCCTGTCATAATTTCTGGTCCAAAGGATTAAGGTCCGGACTGGAGGAAGGCCAATCCTCATGTCTAATTAAGACGATGTTTTGACGCTCAAACCAGGCTTTAGTGGTCTTGGCTTTGTATGCAGACGCAGAGTCCTGATGGAACACGAAGTGATGTCCCGCAAATAGGGTGCTGGACATGTCTTTGACAAGGCGATACAAAACCGTCTCTTGGTACACTGTAGCACTGGTTTTGACCCCCTTTTCGAAAAAAATTAACCTCAGTTAGCCCGTAATAGGACACTCCCAACCAAACCATTACTGATGATGGATGATGTCCATGTTGCACCCTTGGAACTTTATTTTCAGCTTCTTCAGAACTCCTAGCGTACACTGTATAATTCTGTTTATTGTACTTCTCTTCAATATCGAAAAATTTTGGTCCGTAAAGAGGATATCACGGTGTCGGTTTTTCGCGTACCGCTTAAACAACACCCGCGATCTCTTAAGCCTTATTGCTTTTAGACGAGCATTAAGTAAGTGCCCACTCTTTTTTGTATGCTCGTAGACCAAGATCTTCATTTAAAACCTTTTTTACTGTTTTCCTACTGACACCCATCTGCAAATCCATCAACTTCTGTTTTCGGACAGGATTTCTTACTATCCGCGCCTTGATAGCTTTGATTACTGCTGGTGTTCTTGCGGAGCGTGGCCAGCCAGTTCTTTTCTTGTCCTCAACACTGGAGACTTCAAGGTACCTATCAATAGTACCGTACACAAACCTAAGCGTTATATTCAAATTTTTGAGCAACTTGAAAATGGTACTCGGCGAGTGTCCACAGCGGTGCAACGCAATAACAACTATTCGGTTTACTTTCAATGTCCACTCCATCGTGAAAAATTACGGAAAGTTATTGTTTTTGTTTTAAAACAATAATCAAACATTCCAAAATAGAATGCAATAATTTTTTTATAAAATCCTGCTCGAAATGTAGAAATAATGTGCTAGTGACAGAACTTTGGGACCAAGTATGTAGTAATAATCCAAAAGGGTTAGATTCCCGCCGAAACATTTATTGAAATTAAACTCTTAAACATTATAACTGGTTTAATGTTATGCATGCCGTGGTCATTCGGTTCACATACAGTTGACATAACTACAGATTAAACTCTTAACAAGGAATTTCAAGGGACCGAAAATTTTTTTCGTTATAGGGAGTAAATAGAAAAAAATTTTTTTTAACCAATTACAATAATTTCTAATTATTACTATCAATAGGTAAATTGTTCTAAACACATAACGCTTATCTTTTACTGGCCATCTTGACAATTTACAAGTTAGATAATACACGATAGGTGATGGTGGTGCGTTTAGTAACTGAGACCAAAATTTCCTACAGGCAATGTAATCTAAGAATAATGGCACACGTGTTATTGCAATAAACAATAACAAAGGCGAGGCTAGATGACCCGGTGAACTTCGTATAACAATTATGTGTGTCAAAACTCAATACAAACTTTTTAAAACAGACCAAAGATATCGGACCTCTGCGGAAACACAAATTTCTGAAGGCATCTATAAATATAGGACAAATAAATGACAAATATTTATTTCTAAACACACATCAAATATTTTCCAGCTACGAACAATTTTTATTGGATAATTCAATTGTTATTTTTAGTATAAATCTTTATGTTTCCCACCATTAAAAAAAGACAAAAATATTTGCCACAAATGTCTAAATCAACTCACCAAACTCTTCTTTCTGTAGTCTATCTCTTTCACTCAACTCGTGCGCAACTCGTTCGTTCTCAGCGCGCAGTTCCGCAACTAATCTCGTTCTTTGCTCTTGATACGTCACTTCTAATTCCAGTATTTGTTTCTCCATCCTTTAAAGATGTCAACAGATTAAAACCCTTTTTACTGGAGATTTTTATAATATTCAAAAGTAATATAAATGAATAGGCATTAACTATATGCGCTGCGTAGAGATGTGGGGTCTCTCTGCATCTTCTTCCGCATATATCATGGAGTGTTCAGAGGAGTTTGTCGGATGAATACGAATATGAATGAAATGCCCATGGGCGGCGGTATCACTTAACATCAGATGAGCTCTTGCCTTTGCCTCCTGTTACATTAAAAAAAGTGCGTGCATACCAAGTACACATGTCAGAAGTGAAACTTCTTTGGCAAACCAATTTTTAAGTCTTGTTCATATTTATACAAATCTAAAACTTTAGATTTCCGAGACTTAGAGGGAGGGAAAAAGGAAGATATTATGTTAGAAATTTAATGAAATTTGATAAAATATTAAGTGTCGAAAATTAACAAATTATAAATTATATTTTTTTTATTTATTTCTTCGATAATAAAAACACGTGGCATTTTAATTTATAATTCGTTATTTGAGATTTCAATAAATTATTTTGCATAAAAAAAAATTCCAATATTTCATCAATTCTCTTCATGAAATTAAAAAAAAAGAATTTCTATAAGGCAATTCACCCTTCTCACTCTCTCTCAGTCGGTCTCATTCACTCTCTCCCTTCTCATCGGTAAAAACGCTGCACATCTACGTGACGTTCCGTAAAAATGTTACCCTCATGCGCCTAAAGAAGTTTACCTTCAAAAAACCCGAACCACGTCTTGGGTCCTTCAAGAAAAGAGCGTAACAATTCTTAAAAAACCGGCTACGCACTTGCAAGCCTTCTGGCAATGTAAGTATCACTTAACCTGCCTATTATAGGGCCTGCTGCCCGTTTGCCCCCTGTTATATAAACAAAAAATACGGACCTGGTACTAGCTAGCTGTCTCTCTTTAACAAGGGCCTCTTCCTTCTCTTTCTCAAGAGTACGCCTGAGTTCTTCACTCTCGTTCGCACATTGCGCTTTAAGTTTACCAATTTGTTCCGCATGAAACATCTTCAAATCAGACACTTCTTTTTGTTGCCTCTCCGCCATTTCTCTTAATTCTCCTTCTAAACCTTTTACAGTTAGTTCCTGAAAGTAAAATTAATTAATTTTTAAATATTTTCAAATGGTTTGATATTTGTTCCCATTGCTATAGCAAAGAATAATATTTACGATTTAAATCCAGCAGTTCTTTATTGACTAATACATGATTTTATGCCAGTAGCTATAGGTTTTCCTATAAAAAAATCGTACAATGATCATCATGTTCAGGATGTTGATAGGGCTCTCCCGCTATTTCAGTGCGTCAATGTTTGGTTGTGCTGGTGTGGACTGTTTAACTGACAGTGCGGCCCGTGGAACACTTTCAAAGCGTTCTGTGAGGCCATTGTTAAACTTAAAGAGAGAGAGAGGGGTTCTGGAGTGCAAGCCAGACGCCGACCCTCAACGCAGAAAAAGGCCTCGAAGACGACGACGCGATCACGCACGTACTCCACTGTGACCTTTGCACCGAATTGGGCAACTCAGAAGTTGGGCTCGCACAGCAGACGCTCATGATGGAGACACGGATTAAGGGAATCTGTTACCGCGACTCCCGTCCATAGCGAACAGATGGGGCTGTTGGGTTTTAGTGGGTAGGGGTCCATTGCGCCATTGCGGGGGTCAGCCCCACACTCCACGCGTCATTTTTAATCGTTGCCCCGGCGCGGGGGTCAGTAAATTGATTTCCCAACAATAAAAAAAAAAAAAAAATAAAGGCAGGGACTGTTTTACGCCACGACACGCTATCGAGCTGTATCTGGTGGTGCTGGTAAGGCGCGTGCGGGGGAGCACAAACGGCATCCAGTAATAGCGCGAAGGCTGGATTGCCCTTAAATGGGTCAGTGCATTGCATTTACTCTTTTTAATTTTATGATTGAATATACTTTAAAGCTAATTAACACAAAATTAAGGACAATATTGATAATCATATGTACTTATGATTGTTTGCGTAACTAAACAAATTATTATTAAACCGTTTTTAATAATAATTTGTTTAAAATAAATTTATAAAAAATAAAATAAAATATGTTTATTATGGAACATGAGAAACAGGTATCACTTATTGCACGTCATTAAATTTGAATCCCTACTCATCGGCAAAGAAAACAGAGGGTGTAGGCCGAGAGAAAAAGCCGGCGTAAAAAACTCTCGGTACTCTTTTAAAATAGCAAATCATCAAACAAATTGGCGACATAATTGAAGTATCACTTATATTTCTCGCTTTTAGACCACAAATTCATAGTTTGTAAGAATTATGTTTGCAAGTTATTAAGTATAAAGCCAGCTTTGTGCCTATTAAAGGTACAATTAGTTTTTTCTAGTTGTAGTATTGTAATTTTAATTAATAAATCTTATAGGAATTCCGATAATATTGTTTTTATGTCACATCATTCATTGAAGTATTTCCGAACCAAATCGACTACATACTATTCATGAAAACAGGTGCCGAATTGTATAAGGCCGTCACTTACGAGCCCCTTCTGGCCTTATGAGTGACTATGAGCAGCGGTATCAACTCAGCCTCCTGCCCGTTTGCTCCCTGTTAATTAATGGAGTTATCATTTTTATCAGATATTTTGTATGGAAATTTATACCTTGATTTTTTCCGCTTTCTGTCGGACCCAGCGTTGTCTAGCCACCTGCAAAAACAAATTTCACTTATTACTTATTTAGTTGGTGCATTCTAATACCAATTATGAAAAAATACAACGTGTGGCCTGCCGCGGAAAAGCTATTGCAAAGCATTTTTTATCAACATATGCAATTATAATTATTTATTTATGCAGTATTTTTCTTGGATATTAATTATTAATTCAATCTACCACTCTTCCACTCTACCCAATTTAGACTTACACGCCTATATAGTCTGTCTCACTCTAACGCGTACCGGCTGCACCGGCCGCGCTTACGCTACGTCACCGATCACGCAAGACCGATGTGAGACGCAGTATGCGGTCAGTCCCGCTCTAATGCGTATTGGCCGCACCTATATTACGTCATCGTGTGTTAGGTTTTTATTTTCGTTACGAAATTTCTGGATTCGGTGGCCGCGCTCAAAGCCCGCGATAAAATCTATGCCTCCTGCCCATTTGCCCCCTGTTCTATAAAAAAAACCACTAAGTCGTATTGGTTTAGAAATACAAACGCAGATGGTTCCACGTAGCGGATTTTTCGACCTTCCGAGTCTGTAATATTACTACTATACCTGTTGTGCAGCGGCCATTTTGTCATGTTGGTTTTTTAGCTCCAGTTTATATCTCTCTTCGAGTGTTTGCGCAGATCTCTTCCATCTTTCCTCTAAAGATCTTCGCTCGTCAACCAATTCCTCTATTCTGTGGTTTAGTGTTTTCTTGTCGTTTATCAACTGAAAATTCAGTTTTTTTATTTAATACTCTAAGAATGAATCTTTTTTTGTTTTTGAATGAAGCAAAGTCCGCGAAAAGCCGAAATTATAAATGAAAAAAATGATTAATGTTGTTTAAACAAAAAATTTACAAGTCAAATCTATCCAAGAATTCACATATATACTAATGATGATACCGTCATTAAAATAAGAAGAAAAAAGACGTCTTACATGTCAAGAAATAACTACAAATACTGTTTTTTTAATTAATTTCCATCTAAACTTCAAATTAATATGACTGAATGTCCCTCTACTTTATCAAAATCAGTTCATGCGTAAGCACTTAAAAATGTTACCTATATATATGTAAAGAAACTTGCATGTTTCTTTGTTATGTACTAGATGGCGCCATCAGCCATCTTGGTTTTGAAAAAGCAGTTTCAAGTTTGACAAGTGAAAGTCATCGTTATTAAATTCAGTATTGTCTGATTGTGAAATTGTTGTAAAAATGAATTGATAATGTTAATAATAAACATTTAATTTCGTTTCCTTGTTTTCAGGTAGGGTAGTGTTATTTAGGTTTAGAATAATGTAATTAGTATAGTGTGCAGATAATAAAATAAATATCCTTGTTTTCAGAGAAACACAATTGTTTATGTGAATCATATAAAAAGATATATAATCTTATATATATATGTATAGAAAAACAATTTAATTTATTGTTTATAAATTAAATTATTTTTTCCGTTTCCACGGGTGTGACTTTAATTTTTTAAATTACATTTATTTGAATAAAAAGAGTATTTTAATTACCTGATCAATAAAGTTCTGGTGTCTTTTGATGGTCTCTTCACACTCCTGCTTTACCTTAACAATATTGCGATGCGACTGCTTTTCAAGATTACTTATTTTCGAAATCATCTGTGAATAAATGATTAAAGCACTTAAATGCACATAAAATATATATAAAATAAATTTGTTTTGATTTTCTTCTTTCTTCTTTAATTATTTTTATTATTACTTTATAGGTTAAGAAAATTGTAAATACTGTATTTGTGTATATAAAATATATATACAATATACATAAATAAAAGAAATTTAAAATCAGAAACCAGTTACTTTATCAACGCGAAATGTATGTATAATTTTGTGCACAGTCAAAAAAGCCAAAAATTTCCCGCCTAAGCTAGTGAGAAAAAAAAAGGAGCTATCATATTCGGCATATTAATTAGTTATTACAGTATTGTCAATGTTAATACATATTAAGAAATTAACTAAACATATCTTAAATTGAAATCAGCGCTACCTGTTGGTAACTAAACATCAACTCTAAGTTTGTTTTGTTGTTTCGTAAAAACAAATTGGCAGAGACAAAAGATTACTTTAGTTAAAACATTATAATACAATTTAATAATGACATTAAATCCGAGGTATCCGCTTAAAACAACGATAAAAGCGAATGAATCTAAACAATCTTCAAACATATTGTTAGAACCAATTTATTTCTTTAGATAAAAATGACTTGACACAACAACTGGGTCGTTTTGTTTCGAACGTGACAATGTCAAGAAGATTTCATATAATATGTTCAAAGACAATTTAGATTGAAAATCATAGCTTCGTTTAATTTTATATGATTTCTATTCAGTTGTTTTTGTTTTACTGTCAATTAAAACAATACCATCACATTTATGATGAAAAAGAACTTTGGTTAAAAAGCGTGTAAAAAATTATTATAGAATTAATTAACTATTAAGTTTGTTATGGAAGAGCTGGGAACAACATCTTACACATTGTAATGCATAAAAACTTTTTTTTTACAAAAATTAAAATGTTCTTTAGTTTAGTTTAAAATGTTTAGTTAGAACATAAATTGTACATTATGTTTAGATTGACATATTACAAATTATGTAATCGGAATTTAAAAAAACGTTAAGCAATTGGGCACTTCCAACTTCGCAAAAAATATGCTTGCCGTTAGAAGATTATTTTAAATTTCGATGAGGTGTCAAAAGTGACAATTGACATATAAATTGGCCCTACTTATTAGTTTTAATGAATGGGGTGGAACAAAAAAACAACATTCAAAATTCATTGGCATATTTTGATATTGACTAATTTGAAATCTGGGTAAAATAATGTGTATATTAGAATCTATGCTGAAAGAGAATCATCGTGGGATTTGGGCGCAGTGCTAAATGACTTTTTTATGATGACAACACTTCGTCATATACTTGACATTATCATTTGATATGGAAATTAAAAGCACTTTATAAAAATCTTACGTTACTACCACGCTGATGCTCTTTTCTCAGACCCTACTCACCTGTTCTTTATGATTCGTAAGGCTTTCCTGCAACAGGGCAATACAACAAGACCTTTCTTCTAACTGTAAAGAGGCCGTCACTAAGCGCTGAGCGAGCTCCGTTTGTGGCAACTTAAGTAGTGATTCCAGTCTGGAAAGTTTCAAGTATTCCACTGTGAAAGTTTCAGAGACGAGACTAAACGTTTGTAGTTTCGTCCAAACATAGACGCAAATTTTGACGTTCTCCCTTCATACGTTTTTATAGAACAGGGGCAAACGGGCGGCCCACGCCCCCTTAATGAGATACTGCCGCCCATGACTTGGGGATTAAAATGAGTGGCGGAAAGTTTCTTGCCAGTTCTTCTTACCCGCTCTACGCCCTTGACTCGAGAACTGGTAGTAAATGTAAATTTACAATTTATTTAACTTTTTGACGTTCATAAGTGTACTTGTTCACCTACAAAGATATTTTGAGTTTGAGTTTGTTTGCCCCCTGTTCTATAAATAAATGTATGACTGGCGAACGCCAAAATAAGCGTCCAAATGAGGACATGTGAAATAAGCGACAAAAACGTTACCGCACGTTAACGTAACGTTAGTACCATGTATTGTCTCTTTTTACTAAACTACTCTTTTGTCTATTTCTGTCAAATTGTGTTTAAACTGTGATGAAACGAGACAAATAAGTACTTTAATTAAAACGGTACAATAAGTCTGATTTATTTTATGAAAAAGGTTTTACGTTCGTAATTAAAATTTTCAAAAATAAGGTAATAGAACAATACTTACTTAGGCATTGTCTGAGGTGTTGTAGTTGTAACTACGGATAACGCGTCGTTCGCACTTTGTTCAACTTTCTCCAAAAACTGGAATATTTCCCTGAAAGCATATATGTATCTCAATTCTTAAGATAGGTACAGGGTTAAAAAAGAAAAACAAAACAATTGCGTAGAGAACAAAAAAAACAAAACATCTTATGTTATTCTTACTATAGAAATAGAATAAAAAATCAAAAATAGTGCGTGGAGTCCCTCCGAGCGGAAGAAGTGATACTTCTTAATGTGGAAATGAAATATGGAGATTCTAAAATGAAATAGGAAGCATTCACTCTCGCTATGTCTCTTTCTATTCCCCCTCCCCACGACCGTTAAAAGTTTAACGCAACCTTGTTGGAAGTCGCAGAAGTTTCACTTCAAAAAGAAACTGAAAATGAATTAAACAATCTGGTCGCGGGACACATACTCATGCCCATGTCCCTATAGTACTGGATCCCACTATCTGTTTTGTTAAATATTTACGTAATTTTAAAAGAAATGAAAAAAAAAACACCAGTACTCAGTCGCAACATTTTTCCAAGTATATTATTGGTAATTATAATTTTAATACAAAATGAAAGTGTTATATTTCCTATTTACGATAATGGTTGACAGTTAAAATGGCCGAAGAGGTTGCTATGCTTTCAATAAACGATTCTCGCTACTACTAAATTTGTATGAAAATTTGTCGACGCGAACTGTCATTAGCTTAACTTAACTACTCTCACAGTTTACGTAAACATATGGTTGCAATTTATATCAACAAATTAATTGTAGATAATTGCAGCTAATTCTTTATAGAAAACATATCCCTAATCCATTGTATACTTTCTCAACATTAATTTATTATTAATTCCATTAAAAAAAACCAGAAAAATCGAGCAGTGGGATCTTAAACCACTAAGTTTACTTCAATAGCAAGAACTTACATAAAATTATCCTTTGGACTAAAACTTCTTTCTTCTTCTTTAGATTCTGATTTAGACATTTGCGTATTAGCTACTGAAGTCACTGGGTTGTCACCATAACTCTCTATTTCTTTAAGCATTGAATAAATATCAAGTACTGTGGAATTAGCACTTAATTCCTTTGACTTTTCAATATCAGTATTAATTGGAGTTTCAGTCTTTTCTGGTTCAATTTCTTTGGTTAGTGGACTTTTTGGTCTTTGTGCTTGTTCTTTTTTCTGTGTTATATCTATTGTATCCTCTTTATCTAGCTCTAGGAGTCTCGGAGATGAAGCAGAGAGTGACATCCAAGATTCTATATCTTTGTCTGTTTGAACACTGTCTATTCGCGCACTTAATGGAGTGCGTGTTGTAAAACCATTGCTCTGTGTATTTGCTGATAAATTTTTCTCTACATTCTTTGCATTTCTGTTATTCCAAAATCTTTTGTAGCCCGAATTTTCTTCATTCTTAGACTGTATATTGTTAAATTTCTTATCGAACTTTTTTGTGTTCCTTACGTTTTCCGGTTTATAATCACTCTTCACCTTTAGGTAATTTTGTATTAACTCCTTAGTTGAGACCTTTGATATATCACTGCTCTTTGCGTCTAACAAATTCTTATCAGTTACTTTAGAATTTTCATTATTGGAGGTTGAATTGTCGTTTGTGGTAGAATATTGGTCAAACATTTCATTGATGTTGAGAGGTGTAGGCGAAATTGCGTCGGTTTTTATATCTTTTAAAGTAAGCTCGTGCAATGTATTTATAGCAGCTATTTCTTTTTTGTAATCTTCAATAACCTTAGAAGTGTATGCTTTAGTAGAACTATTCAGGAGATATGATGGATATTCTAAATTAACATTATCATCTAATTTTGAGCTAGTGGAATCTTCACTTGTACTTGGTGAATTGTCGTTTTTAGGTGTATTTTGTGGCGGTAATGCTAAATTACCTTCTTTCTTAAGAAAAAAATCTTTGTATAGTAATCTACTGTGGTTTAAGGGCTCCGCCCATTTATCTGAATTTTCTTTAGATGACGCACTATCAAAGCTTCTGGGTTCTTTGCTTTCATGTGATATCAGATTGAAGGATGTCGAAGGCAGTGAATAATTTTGATAATACTGTTTATCTTCTTTGACAGCACTCTCTGGGTAACCAGAATCCTTAGAAGAAGAATCTGTGTGAACTCTTGAGCTTGTTTTACTTTTGTCCATTAAATTTTTATGGAAATCATTCAAAAATGCTCTGTAAGTGTGTGATTCATTTGTAAAATCTTCTTTCTCTTTATCGCTATTATCTAAACAGTTTGTTGTAAATTTTAAATCATTACTGTCATTTTGTTTTAAATCCTTATTGTCTAGACAACCACTGTCACGTGGCAAGCTAATCACATTTTGTGAAACATTACTATCGAGATCTTGTGTAGATTCTTCCTCCACTAAAGACAGTTGTGGTTTTGTTTGCACCTGCCGACGGTCAAAAACATCCAATGCATTAGCCTCATCTACGCTCAAGGAAGATGTATAGTTAGGCACATGAGTGTTTTTATAGTTTTCATTGAAGGCTAAAAAATATGATTCATATTGGGTCTTTAAAGGAGGTGAATATGATCTATGTTGGTATATATCCCTGTATCTAATAGGTGATGTAGATCTTGGTCGTTCTGTTATAGTTATTTCCATTCCATAATTATCTTTAGTCAAACAATTATTTGTGTCATCCATATTTTTTTTGTTTTTCTTAGCTATGCTTCTGTATCTTAAAGCATTCTTTGGATTTGAATTTCTGTTTTTTGGTCCCGATTGTGCTTTGGCTTTAATTTTAGTACCTAAGCTTATAAATGTATCCTCTGAACCAATATCCGAGGCATTGCTACATATCTCCTTATTCTTTTTAAAAGCATTTTTTTCAAATGTTTTAGAAGTTCCTAGCAATTGCTCTGTCGGCGGCAACACTTTTACAGTAAGTGGAGAATCTGAAAATAAAAAGAATAGTAACAATGTACAAAAATATAAGGTACTACAGATAGGTATTTCTAATTATTTTATGCCAGTAAAACTTTAACCATATAAGTATACAGTTTGGATTTTATTTTGTTGGAACAGCATATATGGCCCCAAAGCATGCAATTCTATAAAGACTTTTTAGAAATGACTGGGAAGTGTTTCACAAGTATGTCACTTGCATTTTGTTTAAATTTTATATTAATTAACTGATTTGATCAATTGCTTTTCTGGTTAAAAACAAATTCCAAAAACAGATAGTTAAGATTAAAAATGTGGTCATGCAAAAATCCTCTTTAGAAAGCTTACTTAAATTAAGGTTTCTTTGAGTTTCATAGCAAATATTATCAGAAAAATAAATTATCTTTAACAAAATAAATTAATTTATTAGTATTCTTTTATTAAACTTACTACTGTATGACTGAAGCAGTTCAGCACTAAAGGCCTTGAAAAAAGACCTAGTTGTTGGTGCCCTGTCCTTTGTATCAGCAGAGAAAGGTCTCTTGTAATGTTCCTGGCTATCCTGTAAAAGAAATTAATTAATAACCCTAAGGGTTTAAAATAGATTATTCGTTGGATATTTATTATTTATTTACCGAAACAGAGGAATTTTGTAGAGCTGAACGGGGCCGACCTTTATTATTCTTCTTATCTTCTCGCTTTTTATTTCTATATGATAAATTAACAGGTGAACCAAGTAACCGCAAATTATTACTTTCTTTCGACATTACAAACTCTAAATCGTTATTTAATAAAATATTCACCATTCACATGTTCAATAAGTGTTATTACAAAATACTCGCAGAGGCCAAAGTAATGATTTTATATTTCATTTGTTTGGTGTTTATCAAAGTAAAATATTGTTTAGTTGCTAAGCAACCATTGACAGGACACAGTATCACTGTGAACTGTCAACTGTCAAACCTCTAATCAAACCTGATATTTGATACTTCGTTTACATTTACGTTCCGTTACGTCGTAGATCGAATTTATAATTTTCAACATATCATATTCAGTCATAAATTCAATACAATTATTAACTTAAAATATAACGATGAGCTATTATATACTACTACTATATATAGTTGTTTGATTTATAATACAATACTTATTTTATCCGTTAAAACGAAACGTTTTTAGGAATGACGTCAGAGATAAAAATAACTGGAATTGATCATCTTGGTACTTGCCCAACTTGCCCGGCTCGTCCTTGTGGCTTGTATGTTACTCAGTCAGTGAACAAATAGTGCTCGAATTCCATACTCTGAAGGTTAGGGATTTATTTTGGTAAAATCTTAACTAAGCGTTTATTATAACTTAAATTAATTTGTGTTGATTGTGATTTTTTGCCCAGGCACAATTCTTTAAAACTAGAAAAATGTTCAGCGGAATCGCAGGTGAGAAATGTTTAATTTTAATATTGTTTATTCGATTAAATTGTATTTTTATGCAAATAATGACTGAAACGGTGAGTTAGCATGATTTCTTTTAAATATAAATACGTAGTAAGGTATAGTAATTACTGGTAGTAATAACTTTAGAAGTAGCTAACATTTTTCAAGTTTGAAATGCATGTAAGTCAAATATGTAAATATTTCATAATAACGATGTCATGTAGTTACATGCAGACACATCTTTATTTTATTATCGCAAATAACTATAATACCTTTCCTTACAGTTGTAACAAATTTTAACTTTGATATAAGCTAGGATTAAAGATAAAAGTTTAACACATTTCGTAAAACTGCGACATACTGAGAAGAGACTAGTTACAATATACGAAACTAAACATCCCTGACAAAAGTATCATTAGCTTAATTTCTAAAGCATCCCTATCGGGCACTTTTTCATATTAACTAACCAATTATGACATCTCTTCTTCTTATTTACACTTCTACGTACAACTTCTATATTCTACGCAGACAAATTCGTGGACAGCCAATAAAAAACACATCATTTTATCGGTAATTAAGTTTTAATAGGTAGATCAAAACTATCATGCCCAGTTTACGTGACAAACTAACTATTAATTAATTGATATTTACGATGTTTATAAATAATTTTATTATTATCCCATCATACTCATTATAGAGATAACGCGTGAATTCATACTTACACATCTGGAATTCTATAAATAAATACATCAATTAATTTTATATTTAGGTATCACATGTTAAACTGATTTTTTTCATAATGTATTTCTCTATATCGTAATAGACAATTTTGTATAGCTATACAATAGGCACTGTACTATTTAAAAATATTCGTTTTTTTAATTCGTAATTGTTTTGTTTACCCACCGGCTGTGATACTATTTCACTTTAGCTCTTATTCCTCTTATAAACAATTACGCAAAATGTAAATATGTTGTATCTATTTTTAAGTCAATAGTGAGTGGAGTGATCCTTGAAAATAATTTCGGTTTCCACAGAAGCGAGCTTTGGTATTCTGAAACGCAATAACGCATTTGCGCAGTAAAATTACAATTAATGAGTTTATATCAACAAAATACAGCATTCGGATATAATATTGTTTAGAAATCAGCTAAAAAGAGTTATCCATAATTAAAAAATCATATGAAAATATTTCGAAATATTTAATATTAAAACATTAGTCGTAAAGAGCATAAATTAGATATATCTAACTCTATAGATTGTAGTTTTTTTATCGACAATCAAGTTGATATATTGCCTAAAATATATATATAATAATCCTACGTTTTAGAAAATTAATAATTTTATAGTTTTTCTAAGGTAATGTCGAAAACCATAGATTTTAAACAATTACTGTTCTGCTATTTAAAATCAAAATATTGGACTCTACACTCTATTCTGAGTGAGGTAACGGCAAGGTCGCCCAGTCTATGAATCACATAGTTATATCCTTTTCGAACTTATAGCGTAAGAACGAGATGGGCTATTTAATTATTAGGTTCGGTATGTATACTCCATACTTTACGGTTTATGTTAATGATTAACGGGTCGTTAGCTGGAATGTAACCTATTACCGAACATTCTTGACTCAGTGTAGCTGTATGCAGTTCCAGCGTCAAATATCTGTTATCTACAGGGTTAATGTTAGTGCAATTTAGCATTTTTGCTTATCAAAAGAAGGATTTTGACAAAAGAAGTTAGTGGAAGTTTCTGGCAAAAAGTATATTAATAATTATAAACAATAATTTCATAACAGATTTGTAATCTGTTATTTTCATTCGCGTGCTTATAGTCTTAATTGGTCGCAGGTGACTCAGAATTATTTTAGCGGCACCTTACGAGCAGTGTTGGCCTAGTGGCTTCAGCGTGCGACTCTCATATCTGAGGTCGTAGGTTCGATACCCGGCTGTGCACCCATGGACTTTCTTTCTATGTGCGCATTTAACATTTGCTCGAACGGTGAAGGAAAACATCGTGAGGAAATCGACATGCTTTAGACACAAAAAGTCGACGGCGTGTGTCAGGCACTGATGGCTGATCACCTACTTGACTATTAGATTTAAAAATGATCATTTAACAGATTCGGAAATCTGAGGCCAAGACCTAAAGAGGTTGTAGCGCCACTTATTTATTTTTATTTATTGACTACTACCATGGATCTTGGGCCGTAGATTACATATTTGGCTAAATTAGATGTGTCTTTAAATACAATACAATTGTTATTTTAACACCTCGTTGGGTAACAGAACTACAATGTGAAAAAAATTACTCCCTTAAAATTAAATACACTACTTTAATAAACGTTCTATAAGCGTCAAATACATAAACAGTGTTTTTCCTTATCACTCTTGTATATGAATAAATGTGACAAATTAAGGCTAATGACGTTGGAGAACAAGCATTTAATTCTAATTAGCTTAGTCCAGATAGCCTTATTCATTCTAAATTTGGTCGCCATTTCGTTTCTCCGCTGCACAAGCTATTAAATTTCATACTATACGTATAAGCAGTTGTTTTTTTCATATTACGAATTAAATAAATGAGGAACAAAATTATCTGTGAAACAATGTCTTTGGTTATAGTAAAATAGTATGTACGAGTAAATAAATATTAAACAATATTATTTAAATTGACAGACCAGTGTTGGGCCTAGTGGCTTCAGCGTGCGACTCTCATCCCTGAGGTCGTAGGTTCTATCCCCGACTGTGCATCATTGGACTTTTATCAATCGCTCGAACGGTGAAGGAAAACATCGTGAGGAAACCGGCTTGCCTTAGACCCAAAAAGTCGACATGTGTCAGGCACAGAAGGCTGATCACCTACTTGCCTATTAGATTGTCAAATGATCATGAAACAGATACAAAAATCTGATGCCCTTAAAAGGTTGTAGCGCCAATGATTTATTTATTTTTATACGAATACTTGGCAAGTTCTAGAACATTCATGATTCATGTCTTAGCGATAGTAAGGCCTTCCCAATGCGCTTATTGCTGTTATTACTTCACTAGATTAATATTTACAAAAAATGTTTGGAATGTTTTGATTGAGCTGTATTAATAAAAAAATAACAATTACGCTACAACCCTTGCTCTTGGTCTGAGATTTCACTGTTTCTTGTTATTTGTGCTTGACCGTTGGATGTAAGGGTTTAAAAGCATGCCGGTTTCAACACGTTTTCTTACACTGTACGAATGTTAATTGCCCACATAGAATGTCCATTGGTCCGTGATTAGAACGTACCACTTCAAAGTTGACTTTAAAGTTAGCCAGTGTTTTTTTTTGTGCCAACGCGTACAACTATCAACATACATAATTTATACATTAAAAAATTGAATTATTCACTTAATTGATAGAATTTAGGAAGAAATTAATAGGAAATTGTTATCGAAACAATAAGTAATGAAAAACTAAAATTCAAATTCCAACTAATTTTAATAAAAAATTTTCTATGTTAGTTTAGCGAGATCCTTGGATGCTTGCTGCACAGAGTCTCAAGTCTCCACGTTGTGTAAAATCAAGCTGATTTTGATTGCCGCCCTTAACAATCAAATTGCCCCCCTGTGGGGCATGGGCCCCACGTTGGGAAACACTGCGCTAGGCCATCACTTCTGCTGTACTTTTTCTTTATCTATTTTTCTTCCTATGACTACACAATTACGCAGTAGGCGAACCAAGATTCCTAATGGCCGAATGACATCATTCACGTGTAGTCACTACCTATTTATTAACCTAATGTGTATTGTTATTTATTACATTCTTACTTCTACAGCTAACTGAATTATATATAACAAAAAATAATTCTACTAAAGCCAAAGAATACATATATATTATATATATTTATACAAAAAGGTTCATTTATTAACGTTATATTTGTTCGTTGTTAATAGTTATTGTGGGTTTTACAATTGTACGATTAGTTATAAACGTGTATTCCTAAACTTTATTGCTTATTAAGAAAACTAAATTGCTTATTTCCTTTATGTCAAAATGTACGTATGCTGTAATGTAAGGAGACATAATATGTTCTTTAATGATAACTGTAGAATTCATTTCCATTAAAATTTTCTCTAGAATAAATACAAATAATTATTTATGATATTTGCAACAAAGCTAACAGCTATGGCGTGGAATTCCTAGAACTGAGGAAACTCGATCGATATTGGAACTAGACCAACTGGGTCATAAAATCGCCAGACAAGGTGACGGCAAACATTTTGAGAACTTTCGCGTCAAAAACAATTGAATAACGAATTTCTCTTTATGCTGCTAAAATAATTCATAACGAGTTCTTTTTT